AACGGCCCTGCTGCTCAGAGCTCATGCTCCCAAGCCAACTCTTAACCAACAAGCCACCCGGCCAGCCCTGAAAGTATTTTTAATGTCTTTCTTCCAAATACAAATCTTAAGGTATCATGTCTGAGGAATCTACTATTCCTAGCATGCTGACTGCCATCTGTTCTAATCTAATCTTGGGCAACTGATTTTCCTTTTTTCAGGCCTTACTGAAGTTAAAACAGATGAGTTTCCTCGCCACGGAAGCAACATAGAAGCCATGTCTAAACTAAAGCCTTACTTCCTTACAGATGGAACAGGAACAGTCACCCCAGCTAATGCTTCAGGTTAGATTTTCTGTAGGGCAGTTGGGGAAATCCCTAGTTTTACCAACTTAATACCTTTTTAAAAATTGCATTTCATTAACTTTTTATACAAATTATTCTAAAATGTTTTAGCTGCTTTAGGGGAAAATGTCATCATTTGTATTTGATTAGTTTCTCCATATTTGATTATTGACAACCTATATATATATGCTGAAATAATGGATTTGGTTTCTCAATATCTTAACTAGACATACATATGAAAAAGTAAATTAGGGGACCTCTGAGTTTACCTATGTACTTTTACAAAACCAGAAACTCCCAGTTCCTCCTGTGAGGTCCGTCTTTCATTTCATTAGCCTCCCCTCCCCCACTGTTTTTACCTTTCCAGTTTTTCTCCCATTAGAATGTTCTGTGGTCAGTTATATCACATTGCCCAAATGAACCCTTTCTAATTACACTGTCAAGTCCAAAATACAGCAAATGGCTTTGCCAAGATGTGTTAATAATTTAACTCATGTCTTCAGGTGTTCAAGAAAGTAGACACATTACATAACTGAAGTTAATGAACGTTATTTTAGAAATGAAGACATTCATATTTTACAGGAGTAAATGATGGTGCTGCAGCTGTGGTTCTTATGAAGAAGTCAGAAGCTGATAACCGTGGGCTCACACCTTTAGCACAGATAGTTTCCTGGGCACAAGCAGGTGTGGACCCTTCCATTATGGGAACAGGACCAATTCCAGCAATAAAGCAAGCTGTGAGTTTGTGTAATGTTGGTGCCTGTCCTTTGCTTTGTTGATATAACCTCTTGGAGAGTACAAGATCAGTAACCTGTAATTCTGTATTAAGTTCTGCCCTCTTTATACTGGGGGTACCAAAAAAAATGTATACAAGTGGACACTTTGGTGAACGTTGCTCAAGCAGTTTGCAGTAATCAGAATTGTCTGGATGCTGATGGTAACTCTTTTGAGCACCTCGTGTAATTACAGAAGTCAAACATGACTTGTATTCATCTTTTGTAATCAGTATATATTATTTTTTTCAGTTTTATTTTTAATTAGGGAATTGGGGAAGGGGAACAGCTAAATTTTTGTCCTTCAATCTTGGTTGTGGAGAGCGCAGCTAGCTCAACTCTAAGTCCAGTTGCCATCTGGCTGCCCGTTGGCAGCTCACAGCCGCTCAGCTCAAGGTGCCCTGTTCAATCTTAGTTGCCAGTGGGCATAGCCCACCATCCCATGCAGGAGTCAAACCNTCAAAATGAGTAACACATTGTTACCATGTTTCCCCAAAAATAAGATCGGGCCTTACATTAATTTTTGCTCCAGTAATCGACATTTATTCATTTATTCATGTACAAAAATCTATGTTTATTCAAACAGTCATGCCTGGCTGACGATCTTAACTGGGGCTTATGTTTGGGGTAGGGCTTATATTATGAGCATCCTGAAAAAATCATGCCAGGGCTTATTTTCCAGTTAGGTCTTATTTTCGGGGAAACATGGTAGCATCACTTAAGCCCTTAGATGAGTTCTTCATTTAACATAACCAGTTGCCTCTTCGGAAGGAGTAAATGAAATTCTTAAGGAAACAGGACACAGAAGGGATACGTTTGATGGACAGTGGACAGGTAGGAGACTAACAGGTTCCCAAGAGTAGGCAGGGGGGAGTGGTCTGCTGATTCCAGGGGTCTTTGGGCCCTGGACCCTAGGTGAGGAGGAGGAGGATAGGCCAGACCTGGGGAGAAGGGTCACAAGGGGGCCTAGATGAGGACTGAGGGACCACTGGGTAAATTTGAGTGCAATCCTAAGGGGAGGACTAGTTAACAATCAAGCCTAAATCCATATGTATTGTCTCCAGGCTCCTCACTTGGTTCACCTGAGGACAGGAGTCAAGATGGGGGAAACACCACTGATTGACAGCATCCTCCAAGATGGGCTTACAGATGCATTTCACAACTGTCACATGGGCATTACAGGTAAGGCAGACATAGCCGAAATCATACTTACTGTGAAAAGGTTAAAAATCATATGATTGACTTCACAGATGCTTTCCTCAGTAAGGATAGGGACAATGTCCTAATCATTTTGTATTCCTGATGGCAGGGATAGTTTCCCTTTGATGAACTGAAGTGAGGAAATATCCCCTTTATCCTTTGTGAATCCTTGTTTATCAGGGAATGTTAAGCAGTGGGAAATACCTCAGAATTCTTCTGGTTCAGTCTACCATTTTACCATATGAAGAAACAAGGGCCCACAAATTGTGGTTTTGTGATAGAGGCATATCAGAGACACACTAGTACTTCTTGTACCTAATTGCATTCTTTGCATTACACAATCAGGTTTTCATTGCCCATGTAGAAAGCTTCTGTGGTCTAGGTTCAAAGAAACAAACCCTGAGAGGTTAAGCACCTTCGTCAAATGCATGTGGCAATGACTCTGGGTCGTTGAGCAATATAAATCATGACAAAGATGATGGAA